GAAAATCAACTGTAGAAGACTAACATGAAAACAATTATCGTTGCCTACCAAGCAAAGTTAAAAGAAGCGTGAAGTACACAAATGGTCAGAGTTACCCTCTAACCAAACACTCCATATACGGTTTCCTATAACTATATCCATAAGGACTTACTTTAGGCCTATTGGGTGTAGGAGCTAATCTAATAGAGTATATTAGGGCCTATGGGCCTACCCAAGGGCCACCTTAGGTCCGTAAGAAATTACTAACTTGATCAAAGCTGAACCTTAGAACTTTAGGATCCTACCCAAATAAAACAGTTTTAGACAGTACCAATAATATCAGAAATCAGGAGATAGTTATACCTAGTATCAGAAACCAGAAATCAGAAACTAGTAATCAGAAATCATGTTTTTATTTCAAATAACAGAGTCAGACTTTTTGTAAATTAGAGAAAAATATCTTTGTGCTTCAGGAACACACTAGATGATCTAGATATTTTTCAGAGGTGCTTGGTAATTATCAGGAATAAAAAACATGAATTTACGTAAAATTGGTTGGATTTCAAGTATTGGGTCCTTATTAAAAGGGTTCGACTACTAACGAAGCTAATCAAACTTTTAGAAATTAAAGCTTCAGAACCATATAGGATTCGAGTGCATTTGAAAGGTATTCATGAACCTTCACATCAGAACAATTTCATATTCAGATATAACCAGAGTAATTTCATTATATAGGCCATCAGAGGCATTTTAATCAATTTTGCTACCATAAGAATTCCTAGTAAAATACAATGATAATTCGCAGTATGCCAAACTTATATCAAATTATCAGAATTTCAATATTCCTTAATACTAACAACATTAGTTGAACTGATTACCATCAAAATTACCATTTAACATATCTCGAGGGGACGGACATGTATGCCGATGATATTATTTATTTTTGCATTGTAATAGTATTCAAAATGTCTGACGACTTGGATGTGTTCCATAACCTTTAGGGGCAGTATAACATTTACGTTTATCGATGTTTCTTAAGTATATCCAGAGGCATTCACTTAATCTAAGTCGTAAGGGTATTTAGGTCATTTTAATTCTAGATGTTAATTTAGTCATTTCGCAGCTTGATGACATTTTGATAATTTTGTTCAATCCAAACATATGCTCTTTTTTTGGTAATTTGGCCATCGGATTATTATTCAGAAATCAGAATATTTGAATATGTAACTATCTCGAAGGCTATAAATCGTTTATCAGTCTTTTTCAATCAGATCTATGAATCTGTAGTTCTATCAAGACATTAATAAATTCTTAGGGCATTTCTACTATCAGGGGAGATCTAGGTCCCTTTTTCATCTCAAGGGTATTTCAGTCGTTTCATTCAATTATGACGTTTGTATTACTTCCAAGAAATTAGTCTACAAGTGTTTATTCAAGAATCAGAATTATAAATCTTTTGCTTTATCGGAGGTTTAAATCGAATATCGAAAGTTTTTTAAACAAAACAAGCATTTAAAAGGTGTCTCAGTAGTTTAAGTTGGGTCAAGTATGTCTTTTCAGAGTTATTTTTCACTTTCAGGGGTAATCTTGGTCTTTTTACAGCACAAGGGTATTTCACAATTTTACTCCATAAGGCTATTTTTTTGTAATTTCTTATCTAAGTATTCCCAACATTCAACCTTTAAAGAAATTAAACAGAATTTACGGATCATGAGGTCAATTTATTTACTAATTAATCACTATACTTGGAATTGTTTCTTATCGATCTTTCAATTTCTTATGAAATTCATGTGAGTCTTATACATTTTACTACCTTTACTTTGTATTCAGTTTGAGTTCAACAATAATTAAATACACCTAATTTCTTAATTATTTCAATTCATGCATTTACCAATAAGTTCCGAAAAACATACAAAAAATAGTAGAGTGTTCCTCGATTTTTGAGCTATATTTTTTGGCATTAAACCATTTGATCGCTCTCGATCTTGAATTCATCGTCCCATAATATCTTGGATACAAAGCAAAACGAATTACGTTGGAAACAAAACTTAATTGGGAAAACTATTAAAATCAGAAGATAAAACTTTGAAAAACAACTTATTAGGTTGAAATTTAGAAAAACAGAATTCATATTTGAACTAAAGAAGTCAAAAAACATAAAACATGGTTTCTTTGAAAAATTTAACTTTTTGGTCAAAGTCAACGATCAACCATGGTCAAAGTCAAAGTCAACTCAGGTTAGATCAACGATCATGTCAAAGTCAACAATCTGGTCAAGTCAACGGTCCAAGAAAGTTAACGCTTTGGTTTTGTCAGTTTGGTTGGTCCGACTGGTTCGGGTAGACCTGGTTCAGACCGGCTCGGTCTGACCATACCGATTCTAGAAGGATATGTGTTGAGGGAGTTGCCCCATGCGCGGTGGAGACGTGCGACGGTGACGAATGAGGTTTCAGGCGACCAATTTCTTTAAATTTATCATCTTACTGACATGCATCGTTTTCGCATCAAAATAATCCATTCTTCTCAAATAATAAATAAAGGAAATTAAACGTAGTGAGAGAGAAGTAAGGGTCAATCCCACAGGGACTACAAAAACTTCCTGATTTATACTTGTTTAATCTCTGAGCCAAGAAGTAAGTTGAAAAATGTTTAAGTAAAGGTGAGGATTTGCGAATAAAATGAAATGAAATAAAATAAAGAGATTATAAGGAAGATTATAAAGAAATATATTCAACATGGTAAAAGTCAGCCTTAGGCTCTTGCTTTGACTCAGTTTCATTTTATCATCGAAAAAGGTTTTTACTTCGAGATTCACGTCGGTTACTTATCTACAAGGATCAATCCTTGTGATTATGCTTTGTATATTGAATACACAAGTGGCACCTTTGATATCGATTTTGGAAATTGATATAATAAAAAACAATATTGTAGATAAAAAATGTTTAAGTTCATAAAAGATCAACTCGAATTATGTTGTTTCAATAATAATCGATTCCGATCTTAGTTTCCTCTTAGCAAACAATTTTACGAAGTGTGTTCCTAGGAAGTCGAATCCGCTTTCAATAAGTCGATCATTCCTCCTACATATTTAACATCATGACCAACATATTTGGTTTTTGAAATCGTTTTAATTTTGAAAATAAGTTCAGACAACTGAGAGAGATATTCGAAGTTGTTTAAGTGTTTTTAAATCCCTATGTTGGAATTGAGTCATCGCTTTAACCCTCAACTTAAAAGAAAATTAGCTAAGCATGACATAAGTCATACTTAACATTTTAAAAATAAAATCAAATAAACAAATTAGAAACTAAAAGAGAACTTTTATAAAAGAAAAGAAGGGTTTTGATCACAATGATCTCAAAGACAAGTGAAGTACCCCCTAGGCTCACCCTAAAATGGGTATTTATAGCATTCTAAAAATCCTAAAATTAAGCTGAAAATACAAATGATAATTGTTTTAATTTAAATCTTAAAAATAAAAAGATAATTCCTAAAAACTTGAATTTTGAAATGCTCAAGTCATCCGTCCTCCTTCTAGAATTGCTGACTAGACCTTCTAGAAGCTACTGACGAACTGCTACACCAGTCATTTCATGCACATGTTCATGCCCACTGTTTCTGCCTTGATTCCAAAATAAAAAGTGCAATTTTTAGACATTTTAAGCACATTTTCTAGAAATAATTGCCATACACAAAAATCATGTAAAAATGTCCAAATCAACAATAATAATGAACAATTAAGGAGTATTTAAACACAAAATATAATACAAAATAAACACTAATCATTTACTAAAATCGACCAAAAATAAATCAAATATTCAACCAAAAGTCGATGAAATAATCGAAAAAGTGGTTAGGGTTTTTACCAACGGGGACGACGGCGAAAACAATGACTGTGGAATTACCCATTGGTTGGGTTTTGATCGGAACAGGAAGAGGAGTCCGATGATGATAGTCGTGTGGCTCACGACGGTCGGGATCGGCCGGAAACACGTTAAACAGCAGCGGCGATAGGGTGTTTCTTGAAACTTATTTCCTGTTCGAAATTGTAAGGGAAATTGAGGGCCGATTAGTTCAAGGATTTTAAAAATCCAATAAAAGATGATTTCTCATATTTTTATTATTATTTTGTTACACTACAGTAACTAGTTTAGATTGTAGGGACATGGTTCTTTGTGCTTCTAGACGTGGATTCAAAACCCAATAGCTTCAAATTCTTCTTTTCTCATCTTTTATGATTTGTAAAAGGTAAATTCCTATTCAATTCCTTGAACTAACATAAAGCTCACAAAAAGGATCCTAATTTTCAAATTATTGCAATTTAATCTCTCAAAAAAGATAATTGAAATTACTAAAATTATTCCAAGAATTTTGGGTTGTGACATATAAGGTGACCATTTTATAACCTTTAATATTTGAGGGACTTAACAAAGCATCACCCTATAATAGAAGGATTATTTTGTAACTTTTAATAGTTAATGACTTAATAAAATAACGTCCTATAGTCGAAGATAATTTGTATTCTATATATATAAAAAAAACCAAGTGACTAATAGTGTACTTGGCCTTCTGTTTTTATAATCCATTTATTATTTTAGCAAAGTTTCTTATTTGGCGTTTGTTTTATTTAAAAGGGCAAATACAAATAATATATATGGTTTAATTGTAAAAATAAATGTCCAATTTATACTCAATTAATTTTTAGTGGTGAAAGAATTTTTCGTTAAAAACAAGTGTCTAATATTTTTTTCGTTATACATTTAGATTTTTTAGAAAAATATTTTTAAAAAATATTTTATTTTAAAAAATAAAAATATAAACACAATAAATATCATTTAACGAGCTGTATTAATAATAAATACTTAAAAATGAATGGAAAAATTCTTTAGAGAATAAAAATTAACTTTATCTATAACATTGACAGTTATTTTTTATATTAAATTATAATATATATATATATATATATATATATATATATATATATATTTGAAAAAGGTTACCCCGTCCGTCACTTCGTCATTTTTGCCAGTTTCACTTTGATCTCTCCAACGAGTGAGCTCATCTTTCTCCCTATTTTCAACTTTTTTTTTTCTTTTTCTTTGAAGAGATTCGTATTGATTTGATCTGGGCTGCGTATTTGACAGAGAAAGCTAAGAGATGGTTTTCAAGGTTTCCAAAGTCTCAACAACGCCGTTCGAAGGGCAGAAGCCTGGAACTTCTGGCCTCCGTAAGAAGGTAATCGTCCATTCCATTTAGTTAGATCGAGACCGGCTATCTTGATCTATCGTGTTCCATCACTCTGATCTGAATTTGTGATCAAATTTAACCCGTCCGGTTGACGCCTGCAATCTTTCCTCGTTTAATTAGACGATCTCTTAAACTATATTATAAATCTTCATTTCATAGATTCATATTTAGTCTATAGTAATATATACCATATAACCGAAGAAATGCAGGAACAGTGTAGCATTTTCGGTGCTGATTTACATGCGAATTTACTTTCCTCCTCCTTTTCTATTCCGGATCTGAACTTAAAGTCTGGTTTTATCTCTTTTGCATGTAGAAGTCTAATATCTAATGCTTAAAATATAATTAATAACTGTTTTTGTGTTATATTTCTATACATGAACGATTCTATAACTGTTTATGGTTGATGGATGTTTGTTGACCAGTACAATTTTCTGTTTTAATACTCTCCAACCGATGATAAAAAAATATAACACTACTCGATAGTTCTTGAGTTATTACTTATATTGTTTGAACAGTATTCTCTACAATTTTCTTACGTAGGATATGTATATTAGATTTATAGTCGCCTTCATTGTCGGAGCCCTTTTTATATGCACGTTGGGAGGATTTTTGTTCTATTTTCTTTACTGAAATTTTATACTGTGATGTTTTGATCTTTCCAGGTGAAAGTTTTTGTTCAACCTCATTATTTGCAAAACTTTGTTCAGTCAACATTCGATGCCCTTACACCAGAGAAAGTTAAAGGTAGGGGTTTATTGATGTTATGCATTTTTGTATGCTAAATGTACCTGGTAGTCTTTACTGCTTAATCTTTAGAGGCATAATGTTATTAATGGGCTCTTAGAATCTTGGGGGAGTTTTACAAGTCGAGATCAATCTTTTGTAATTTGTTTTAGAGGGATCGATTAATAGAGTCACAATTTGCATAAAACTCTTTAGTTTTTGTTTTCATAATTTAGTTTTTCACTGAGAAGAAAACAAAGGGAATTTGCCTTTGTGAGCTTCGATAAAGCTGCCTTGTCTAGTGCAAGGCTTTTTCCAAATCTCTCCTTCACCTCAGTCACTAGGCGTGCTTCTTGACTACATTGGTTTAGGACCTTAGGTGGTTATATCTCAATAGTAGAGTTATACCGACCTTGAAACCGATATATACACACTTCTTGTTTACAGGTATTTTTCTGTATGTAAAAGAGGAGAGCACCATGGGCACGGTTCATATTTAAGATTTTTATCCTACCCTTTGATAAGAGCACCACCTCAGATTTAAGATCTTTATCCTAAGTTCCTAACACCTGATAAGAAGTAAGAACACCAAGAATATTGGTATTTTTACCCTTTTTTTTGAACAATTCCTACCTAAGGGGAGGGGAAGGGGAATTTTGCTCCTAATGGTGCATTTCTGTATTGCCTGCTAAGTCAATTCCTTGCATCTGAGGCTTCATCTAATGCTCTTACAACATTGAGTTCTTAGTTATTGGAATAGTGACTGTATAACATATTCAAATCCACTTTAGTTTTTTGCTAGCTCGTTTGGTAAACCGTTACTTTGTTTCGGAAGAAGTCCATTCCTTATCTTGAAAGATGGTTTATGTAAAGAGAAAAATGATATTGACAATTCATATTTCCTTTGTTTGATTGCATACCTTCAGTGGATTACAGATTTACAGTGGCTTATCTCTTGTTTCTGTTCGTGGTTATAGGTGCTACACTTGTTATTTCTGGTGATGGTCGTTATTTCTCAAAGGATGCTATTCAGGTGCTGCAACTTTATATCTAAATAGATATCATAAAACCATATCGTCTTAGAATGGGAAAAATTCTTGTTATTTCATTGAAGGGGTGCTCTTTGAAATGATTTTTTCCGTCTGGCAATGAATTGTTTTTTATATGGATTTTTGTTAGGCATTTTGGTCATGTTAAGAGATTGAGCCTTCAACTTATCAACGCATTTGTGGTGGCCATGTTTAAGTGGGTTATGGCTTGGCTAGTTTAACTTTTCTAAACCTGCTTTTAGGATCCAATAACTCTTTGACAGCTTTGTTCATATATGTACTTAATACAGTATATATAGTAGTTGTTTATGGTTTGTCCAATTATTATGATGGAATTTTGTGCCCAAATTCAAATTCCTATGTTCTAAGTGGATGCAACCAAGGGCTTCTTGAGTGGTTGCTTGTATTATGATGTCTTCAATGATGTTATCATTTGGCAATAAGTTATTGATCATCGTACAAAATTTGCTCAGTGAGGCATTCCCTTGTGTTAAATTGACAGATAATAATTAAAATGTCTGCTGCAAATGGAGTAAGACGAGTATGGGTTGGTCAAAATGGATTGCTTTCAACTCCTGCTGTATCAGCTGTAATTCGTGAAAGAGTTGGTGTGGATGTGAGTAACATTGCTCCTATTGCTTATATCTGGTTGTTTATGTATTAATTTTCATTTCCATTATTATATTGTTGTGAGAAGCTATTCAATATGAGTTAGTTTTGACAATATAAAGGTCTGCTTACAAACTTCAATATCAGGGATCCAAAGCAACTGGTGCTTTTATTTTGACAGCTAGTCATAATCCAGGTGGTCCTAATGAGGTATGCCCAAGCTGATTTGTCTAACTTCCAAAGATTGTTTTTTGCATGCAGCATCTGAAAAATGTACGTCTGCTTTGGCTTTTCTGTCTTTATTGCAGGATTTTGGAATTAAATACAACATGGAAAATGGTGGACCTGCTTCAGAGGCTATCACTGATAAGATCTTTGAAAACACGAAAACAATAACAGAATACTTGATTGCTGAAGATCTACCAAATGTTCGTCTTGCTTCCCTAAAACAACATTTTTCATCTTTCCACCTCTAACTTTATCTTATCAACATGTTGCATTATCCAGGTAGAAATCAGTACAATTGGTGTTGCAAATTTTACGGGGCCTGAGGGACAGTTTGATGTTGAGGTTTTTGATTCAGCAAATGACTATGTGAAATTGATGAAGTAAGTTAGTCGTCAAGTGAATGTGCTTTACCTAATAAATACTGGCTAGCAGTATCATTCAAATGGTGATATCTGTTCTTCTCTTGAATCCTTGTGTATCCCCTTTGATTGGAAATTGCTATTATTATTATGATTTAGAATTGAAACTTAAAAGCTTCTAGAAAATCATTTTCATTGATTAAAAATCTCGTGAGTTGTGTCATAATTCCCCTTCGTATTATTCATATCCTGATTATTTCATTCTGGGAATGTCAAGAGTTTTAACATTGATTGTATATGCAAGCAGTCTAAATATTGAAGTCCTTTTGCTTCTATTTTCAGGTCAATTTTTGACTTTGATCTTATCCGCAAGTTGCTTTCCTCTTCGAAATTTACATTCTGGTATGTAGATAAACCTTTTATTTTTAAGAACGGGACTTTTAATTTTCTGGAATAAACTATAATTCTTGGCCAAAAGGTGTAACCCTTTCACCTTGTATTGAAGCTATGATGCACTGCATGGAGTTGCTGGAGCTTATGCTCATCGCATTTTTGTGGAAGAGCTTGGGGCAAAAGAAATCTCACTGTTGAACTGTGTACCCAAGGTCTTTTTTAAGCGGTGGAAGAATTTTTTAGGCTTGTGATATGTTACATCTCTGTTTAGCTGAATGGGTCACATTATTCTTTGTTAATGCTTTGACATGATGCAAACCAGGAGGACTTTGGAGGAGGGCATCCTGATCCCAATCTGACTTATGCAAAGGAGTTAGTTGCTCGCATGGGATTGGGCAAATCGAACTCTGAAGTTGAGCCACCAGAGTTTGGTGCCGCTGCTGATGGTGATGCTGATCGTAATATGATACTGGGAAAAAGGTACTCATACCGTCTGGGAAATTAAAATCTAAGATCTTAATATTAACTACGCCTCCTATAATTTTATCTTATATATATATTTTTTCCATTTTAGGTTCTTTGTCACTCCATCAGATTCAGTTGCCATCATTGCTGCCAATGCGGTCAACGCAATTCCTTACTTTTCTTCTGGTTTGAAGGGAGTTGCCAGGTGAACTGTTTTTATCGTTTTTTAACATGCTTTCTATTGGAGCATTCAATTCTACCAGCGCAATTGTCCAGCTGGTTCTTTCGAAACTATTAATTATGTTGGACTTACAACTTAAAGGTTATAAACATGAAACAACTAACATGCTAATGTCTTTAAAGCTTAAAGAAAGGTGATTCTACATTTGAAGCCTTTATAAGATGCAATGAATAGGTGAAATGTGTCTGTCCTTCCTCTACATGATAATAATACCTCAGACTCTGTCACCTTGTATGATATCTTAAGTTTAAATTAGAAACTGCAAATGTCAGAAAAAGTGATTTGTGTTCAGGCCTACACACCATGCTAGAATGGTGTGTTGTATTTAATTAAACTATAAAATTGCCAATATATTCACATCTATTCTGCGATTCAAACTCTGATATATATATATATATAGTGTTAAACTATAATTATCTTGACAGAAATTGAAACTGAAGATTTATTTTCTGCATCTTGTAGGAGTATGCCTACATCAGCTGCCCTTGATGTTGTGGCCAAGCACTTGAACTTGAAATTTTTTGAGGTATACCATGGGAAATGGGTTTTGATAATTTTTCCTACTTGCCACTATTTTTTACTTTTGTAAGGTAGCTATTAATCGATTATTTGCTAGGTACCCACTGGGTGGAAATTTTTTGGCAATTTAATGGATGCTGGATTATGTTCAATTTGTGGAGAAGAAAGTTTTGGAACTGGTAAGTGTTTGATGTAACGAATACGAAGTATACATTTGGAACTAAAACATTCTATTGTGGGCAGGCTCTGACCATATACGAGAGAAAGATGGAATCTGGGCTGTTTTGGCTTGGTTATCAATACTTGCATATAAAAACAAGGAAAATCTCAATGGGGAAAAGCTTGTGACTGTTGAGGATATAGTCCGTCAGCATTGGGCTGCCTATGGTCGACATTATTATACTCGATACGACTATGAGGTATAACATTTTGTAGATCTTTTCTGTGTTAGGCGATGAAGTGATTGAGAGTGCTAAATAATTTATTCTCTTGAAGAATGTCGATGCTGGTGCAGCGAAGGATTTAATGGCGTATCTGGTCAAATTACAATCATCTCTCGATGAAATCAATAGGTATGCATATCGCTGTTATGATGTTTCTCGTTATTGGGACTAAAATTTCCGTTGGTTATATATTTTAGTTTCTTTTGATGATCATATTGTTGTTATAATGCAGCATTGTGAAGGGGGCTCGTTCAGATGTGTCAACTGTTGTTAATGCTGATGAATTCGAATACAAGGATCCTGTTGACGGCTCTGTTTCAAAGCACCAGGGTATTCGGTTTTTGTTCGAGGATGGATCGCGATTGGTAACTCAACTTCTTCACCACTTTATTTCTAAAAAAAATCTTATTCGAGCAGTATTTGATTTTAACACCCCCCCATGCGTAGGTTTTCCGTCTCTCCGGAACCGGCTCAGAAGGTGCAACTATCCGCCTCTATATCGAGCAATACGAAAAGGATTCATCAAAAACCGGAAGAGACTCCCAAGAAGCACTTGCTCCTCTCGTGAGCATCCTCGAACTTGTCTAAATTGTCCTGTGTTCCAGATTACTTGCATATTATAGGCTGACTCTTGCCTTTGATACCAGGTGGAGGTTGCTCTGAAACTTTCCAAGATGCAGGAGTTCACCGGCCGATCCGCACCTACGGTCATCACATAGATTCATACTGCTACAAACTGTTGTCCATACGAGGCAAAGCACTACTTTTGAGGAAAGTAAACATGAATAAACTGGCTAAGACTACATTAGAGCATCATGATTGACAGATGATGATGCTCATCGAAATTTTCGAAATATTTCATGAAATAATTTGAATGTTAAGGGCGCCTATACTCCTTATCTTTTTGGTTGAATTGTTGCCTAAATCTCATTTCTGGATGGTATGGTGTTGATTTGGCTCGGGTTTTAAATTCTGTTCGTGAAATTGAAAAAACACTCGGTATATCAGAAAATAATCCTAATATTTTGATATAATAATATTTTAGGTCTTTTTTAATCTAAATATTAATTAAATAAGCACTTTGCCCCCTCCTATTTTTTTATTTTAAATATCCTAGCCCTGTTCTTGATTGGACACCTGAAAATTTTAAATTTTCATAGAAGTCATTGTCTTTTTATATTCTATTAAAATCTATCACCCTTTAAATTTTTATAGTTTTGTACTCTTAAATGTACAATATAAGTTTCTAAGTTCACATCCCTTACCATGGAATTATATATTTGTCTATGCTCATGTGGGAAGATTATTATTGGAATGGAGTAGTTAAATTCTTTGTAATTAATTGGTGTATGGATAATGAAGTGTAAACTAAGGTTATCAAAGGAAAAGAAAAGGTAGGAAGAGAAGAGACGTTTCAATAATTATATACGAAAAATATAATATAAAAGGCAGCCAAGTATTGCTCAAGCGCTAAAACTAATTAATTAACTAAACTTGGCTTTATTATTAATAATATTATTATCCCTAAAACGACATATTTCAGTTCTTGATTAGACTAAGCATCTGCCAAACGTGAACTTCTCAACCATCACTGCTGGATATATTTAAATATATAGTATTTATTTTAAAAATATATTTATAATTATACGAATAATTTCATTTAAAAAATAAAGATAAAAAATCATGTAGCTAAAGAAACGTATTTATTATTAATTTCCTTCATAAATACAATAATTTCAGCATTTTTTTCCCTATTACACAAAACCTATACGATATACAAATCAACTATAAATTTCAACATAGGTGTCACTTTCATATTTACATATACCCTATCGACAAGTTCACAATCCATTATCAAACGGCACTCCGGTTCCTGGAATCCAAGCATTCCCTGCGAGAAAATTACCGAAGGTGAATTTCCCGGAATTTCGCGGCATCGGCAGCAGTAATAACATGAAATCCACCCCATTTCACTCTTCCACCGGTGCTTGCACCGGCGCTGGTGTTCATATGCTCGGCGTAGTAAAGACTACTTAGAGCAAAGTTTCCACTCCATGGTAACCATCCTTCCACATCGATCACACCGTCCAAACCACTTTCCACGAACAAGGTTCTCGAATATTTCTGCCATGGCCGCCCCAAGTAGCTCTTGAATGGACCCTGAACCATCGCCCTCATGTCAGACGAAGCCGTCACGAGTGTCTCTAGGCTTCTTTGGCCATTTACGTCCCTCTCGAGCTAAGCTTTATCCTTATGAAAAATCTCAAGCTCTTACGGACCTTAATCAGGTCGAAACTGATCTTAGAAAGAGGATAGTATCGATAATCTAGTTGTAGTATTAATATCTGCTGATAATCTTATGATTTAGAGATAATTTTAAATTACCTTAATGATTCTTGTGATGCTATAAATATTTATCGAATGTCGTGTTACGTTCACTTGTGGGTATTTTGGTGAATATTTAGTTATCTTCCATGTTAAACAAATAAAAAACCCAAAAAAATTGTTTTAAATTATGTGTGAATTGTCAGAGCTTCCCATCTGGCTCTAACTGAATAAAATGTTCACAACAATATTTTAGTTGTAGAACACTCCGTTGCTAAGGCAAGTTTGGTACGCTTAGTGAATGCTAATTAGGGAAGACAGTCTTGAATAGCATGAGTGAATGGAAGTCTTCACGGGATGACTCTACCTAAAAGGCTAGGGGGTTCTTTGTTGACATCTTACTACTCAAGTATTGGCAGATAATTTTGATGAGCTGAAGCTCTAGCTAAACTAAATAGTAATTGTTGTGACATCTTTTGCTTTTTTAATTACTTTGATAATTATGATATTCTCTGCAAATACCCATGGTAGTGAACCTTCTCGATTAAGAGCACACACACATACACGAGCATCATAAGTTGATTTGAGTTGATTTCATAATTGTCTTGAGATTTAAAGGTGATTGGCAGAAAATTACTAAGGTTATGAGGTGACAAGTGCAAGGCAAGTGTAAGAGTGATGTCTATTTGTTGTGAGAAAGTTGTTGTCATGCTTTGCTTGAGGATAAGCAAACACTTAGGTTTGGGGGTGTAATAACTCTCTAAAAGAGTTATATTTTATATCCTATTTACGTAGGTTAAGTTTGCACTCTAGTATTATTTGGATCATATTTATATTTATTTTAGAATATTTTACATCATTTGCATATTAGGAGTGAATCATTGGTACTTGGACTGATTTTGATGTTTTTGTTGCAAAACTGATGTTGTGACATTATTAATGTTGTAACCGATACTGTATGTTGATGCTAGATTGGAGTGCTGAGATGATTCTGCAACAACTCTTGAGTCACAAGGTGGTTGGAGAAATTTTAGGAAATGATAAAGCTGCAGGATTAAAAGCTGAAATTTAAACTTAAAAAAAATTTGAACAAAAAAGAGAACTTTTCTATTGGTGGAAAGTTTAGCCTTGATGGGCTATAATATAACTTTTTTCTACACACTTTTCCCATTTAAGAAAAAACCTAACTTCCTTTTATTTTTTCTCCTACCATCACCATGGCCGCCTAAGTCATTCGTCGAAGAGTGTACTAATAGTGTGGAGCAACCGTGTAGCAGCGATAACCGATTGAGATTCATCTTTGCTTGGTGTATTCAAATTGAGAAGGGAGAAACATTATTGTGAAGTTGGATATTTTGATTTCTTTGTTTTATTTGGATTTGAACATAAGGTGTTCGATGAAATGCATACTTTATGATAATTTCATATTCATGTGTGTTAATCTTGTTTGTTTTTAGAGCTAAGAATTATTAAGATTGCTTGCTACTTTCGCTCTAGCGTCAGTGTTTATGAGAGTAAACTAAATCATATAGAGATGTATGATGTCGAGTGTTATGCTTCGTTAACTGTTTAATCTATGATATTGATGAGAGCTAATTCCATTTGGTTGAGTGTTTAATTCTTGAGAGAAGATTAATGTGTTAATCGCTGCATAACTCATAATTGTATTGCCGCATTATAATTGTACTGTAAGCTAGCAGATAACAACAACAATCTTTGGTCCATTAGTCTGATTGCTCCACTGCTTGCTATAGCATTCCCCTACTTTTATCATTTTGATTTTATTACTTTGCTATCTTTATGATACCTTCTTAAAATACACATTACTTATATTTTCCTTTGCCAACAACTTTTTTGTGACACGTACGCTCTATGTGGGTTCGACATCCGAAGCTTTTATAGCTTCCATTTTATTACTTGAACGATATGTATACTTGCGTAATTGTTATAGCATCTTACGTAACATTAAGTTTTTACGTAAGTGCTCCACAACAACGGCGACACACTCCAACTTACACTCTGGGGTAAGGCAAAGCTGCCTGGAAGTCCAATGGTCTCTCACAGCTACTGATCGGCTAAAATCAGATCCTTATGGCCTGAACCAAAGAAATTGACTGTCTGATATTTCCTTAGCCTCTCTAATGGGGATTTTGTTGGCCCTAACGCACCCTAGGTGATTAACTGAACTGTCTGCACTTTAGGAATAACGTCCACTACCTCTCTAAGAATGAAAGTTAAACCTTTGAAAAAGGTCATCTCTGCGACGCCCGTTCCTGACGGGACACCAAAAATCGCTACCTTAACAGAATTTTTTTACTGACTTTACTGGGGTGAGAGGCTCGCTTCTCTATCTGATCCTCTGAATTACATTCAAATCTGTCTGCCATCGCAAATGATTTGGTATTCGATAATAAATCAACATCGCAAAAGGACCTTTTGTTCACTGTCAAGATGAGGACTCTTATTTGGATTAAAGCAATAAACGGCAACCTTCTTGTCTCTGAAGCTGATTGGTGGAACAATCCGGTGGACTGTTTAATTGCGAAGAACTCTCATCTGGTGTGGCTCCCTCCCGTAGCAGGTTGTTTGAAATTTAACATGGATGGTGCTTTCAATGTTTCGTCTGCTGGCTGTGGAGGCGTGTTAAGATCGAGCAATGGAGATGCTAAAGCGTTGTTCTCCGGTCCGGTGGCTCCTGTAAGTGCTGATTTTGCAGAATTGATGGCAATAAAAACTACTTTGCTGTTGTTCATTGAAACTGGTTGAGTTGGAATCTTTAGTTTGATAGTTGAATCGGATTCCCAAGTAGCGCTGAAGTGGATCGAATCTTTGTCTTTGAGGCCTTGGAGGTGGTGGGACTTGTTCGAGGAAATAGAAAAATTATCAAACCAAATTTCTGTGTTGCCTTGGTTCCTTGTACCTTGATAAGATAATCTTTTTCCTCCGCCTAAGATTAGAGAAGTTTTTAACAAGACTCTATCTCGATCTTTATCTTTAATAAATTTAATTTTGCAGAGTAAATATATATATATATATATATATATAATTTTGTCGATAAAAAAATCATTATCGCGACAAAATGTGCAAGAATCATCAATATAATGCATTTTTTTCGGATGTCTTCATATTGTCCTCATTAACTTCAGCTAACGTATTATATGGTGAGCCACCAATAGGAACACCCTTCTTTTCGGATCTTGTTGTACGCCTTCCTATTTTGCTTCCAAATTTGTCGCATAGTAATCCATCCATGGACTGAAATTTTCCTCTTCCACTCGCCGGTTATCCTCCTTCACCGGCGCTTCACGGCCTTCCGCCATGTTACCCTGCATCTCGTTCCATTGCCGGTGTTGTAATCGATTTTGATAACACCCATTATAAGCTTCTCTCGTCCTTAGTTGAACCGTAAGGTATTACTTGCTCGTAGGTCATCACGGTCCTTCGGTCAGAACTTAAGCAATGGAACTCCATCAATATCCTACACAAAACTACATGCAACCGGCTGGCCAAAAAAACTCGGCACCCCCTCATCACTTTGTTCAACAACCTCTGGCGACCGGTTTGCCCATTGCCTCAACGGACCAACAATATCCTCCCCAGACCTACATGCAACATGCCGGCCAACCGAACTCGGCACCCCCTCATTACTTTCCTCAACAAGCTCCGGAAACTGGTTTCCCCATCGCCACAACGAACCACCACGTCCATTACCCTTCCCAAAACTACATGCAGCAGGATGGCCAGGTCCCTTGGTCAACAGGACTCTACGACTGCTTCTCTGATGTTCCAAACTGTAAGCTTTTTTAAACCAGACCCCCATCATTGTAATGTTTTTATCAGTCACAAATTCCATTCGACTCAAATTTCATAGGTTGCATAACATTCTGGTGTCCCTGTATCACCTTCGGACAAATTGCTCATATTGTCGACCATGGATCAGTCCGTAAGTTTAACCATCTTCTCTCACGATCGACTTCCAATATTTTCTATCCACGACCATGGACAAATTGCTCATGATATCGTCGACCATGGCAGCTTGTGAAGTATGTGCAGCAATCTATGCAGTCATCAGAGTGTTCACGGGGTTCCCTTGCATCTTATCCTGGTTCTACCGCTCCAGAATGAGGAGTCGTTACATGCTGGAGGAGAGTCCCTGCAACGATTTCTGCGTTCATCTCTGGTGCGAGTACTGCGCCTTGTGCCAAGAATATCGCGAGCTCAAGAACAATGGCTTCCACATGTACCACGGTAAATGGTGATCATTATAAAATCAGCATCATGTATGTGAGAATATTAAAGATACCAACGAATGTTTAATTATACGTAGGATGGCACGGAAACACGGCGGGGCAGCAAAATCGTGGCATGCCCATGCAACCGGCTCCGGTGATGGAAAGTGGCATGAAAAGATGAGACATAACTCTTTTCACCAAAAGGAATTGGCCACAAAACAATACATAGTTGCAGTGAAAATAATTGTTGGAAAATGATTCTTGTACAATGAAATACTCTTTTTTTCCTGAAAAGATTAAGTATTTTATAACGTTTGAATGATTACAAGTAAAATATTTTTTTTGTTTTTAGATAATTCTTTTAAAAGTTATTAATTATAAATATTAAGTATAATAAATATTATTATTTTAAAAAATTATAATAATAATTTTTTAAATTTGTAGTTTTGAATTTTTTTTAATTCTCAAGGGTTGATATAACTTAATCAAGTGTCATGACACCAAAAGGACAAAAGAAAATATAAGTTCATGACCCAAAACTCCAAGGTATTAATATAGATAAAAGGAAAGTTAAAAAGATTAAGGGTGTATTTGATAGATGAAAAATATTTTTCGGAAAATGCTTTTTTTAATTTTTTGTATTTGATAGTTGGAAAAATTTGTTTGAAAAAATATATTTCAGTGTTCGATAATTGTAATTGGTTTCATAAAAAACATTTTTTAGTGTTTGATAGATGTAATTGATTTTCCTAGTTTCTTTGTATTTTCCGTAAAATGTTTTATCATCTGATTTTTCGTAAAATATTTTTCTAACTTTTCACTAGTATAAGTACTCAAAAAAATTATTTAATTATTTAATATTAATTTAATAATTTAATATCATTTTAATAAAAATATTAATTATTAAAATATTTAATATAAATATAATATAATTTTAATAATATTATATTTAAAATATTATATTAATATGTACTCAAATATATTATATTATATTATTTTTTAAATTTAATAATATATAATAAATTATTAATATAATTAATATTAACTATTATTTTTATAAACATAATATTATTAAATTATTAATAATAAGGAATATTAATTTATATATTTAGTATTAATACGATAATTTAGTATTATGTTAATAAAATACTAATAATTTAAAATTAAGCGTATTTAAATGGTTAATCTTGCCACCTATCGAATTGAATTACCATTAACCGAACTTTTTTTTCCTTTAATCGTTAATCGAATCAGTTTTTTTTAAAATATTAATCGAACCAAACTTTATTCATTTTATGTAAATCATTTTCTATAAAATCAATTATAGTGTATCAAACAATTAGTGAAAATGGTTTACACAATACCATCAAAACTTCGTAAAATAGTTTCTAAAAACTGTTTTCTAGAAAATATAATTCATTTTACGTAAAACAGTTTTCATGTATTTCATTTAACGTAAAACAATTTTCATGTAATATATTTTACGCAAATTATTTTCCAGAAAATCAATTACAATCTATCAAATAGACCCTAAATTAAAAATAAACCAAATTTATGGGGCAAAATGTGACTTATCCCAACTACTTTTTTTATGAAACGCACCTAAATTTGGATGGTAGGAGCACATGTTGAACTAAATTGAAATAAAAGAATAAGCGTGTGTGGTGTGTAGAAGACATAGAATTGCATGTGTAATTATTTGTCTTTGACATATATCACGTATGTTTATTCTTTTTGGATAAAATTTGTATTAGTTTTTTTTTCTTATTTTTTTGCCAGTTCTTTTCATTTTAATTCAACATGTGTAGTACACAGAGCTAGGGATGGACATGAGATCCAAACTCGACAGGTTCCGATCTGACTTGACCCAATCGGGTCAGATTTAAAAAAAACTCGAGTTCGGGTTGGGTTTTGGTTTAGGGTGAAAAATACCCGACCCGACCCGAAAAATATATAATTTTACGATAAATATTTAAGAATAATTACAATAATACCCCTCTATATATTTCGGGTTGCGTCGGGTCAGGTTTTTATGTTATATATCGGGTCGGGGTCGGGTCGGGTTGGGTCTTAGGTGGAGGACTCCTTGTTCTCGGGTTGGGTCGGGTGGACCAAAAACCTAACCCAACCCGACCCATGTCCATCCCTACTCAGAGCCGACTCTAAGGGGAGCATCCTGAGCAACTGCTCAGGGCCCAATTTTTTGTATTTATAATTAAGACCCTTAATTTTTTATATTTATATTTTGGACCCCTAGTTTTTATAATTTCATAAAATGTTTAGTTTTTTACTCTCCTTTTTCATTTCTTTTATTAATTCATTCAATTTTGAATTAAATTTAATTCAAATCTTACTCTTCAATCTATCAAATATTTTTTAATTTTTAGTATTCTTCAATCTTAATCTAACAATAAAATAATATACAATTTATTTATTTATTATTCAAAATCAAGCTATGTATCGTACACATATTCAATATTTTTATATTTATTCTCTCTTAGTTGTATTTAATGTGTTTTCTTAATAATTAATAAAAAATAATCATTTTTCTATGATTTATTTATGTAATATTGAATTAATTGTTTAAAATAATAAAATATACTTTCATTTTATAAAGATATATTTTTTATTTTTCGCTTAGAGCTCCGAAAATGTCTACGATGGTTTTGTCCGTACGGTCGATGTGTGTCGAAGAGACGTAGTTGCATGTGTGTGCTCGTGTAATTATGTATCTTCGATGCGTTTCGTGCACATGGATTCCTTTCTGACAAAATTCATATAATTTTTTTCCCTAATTTTGTCACCTCTTTTCCTTTCCTTTCATTCTAACTTAATTACGTGTCTTCGATACGTATAATTCGGATTGGTTCATGCGTTATTCCCATGAGTCTTCAACTTCTACTTGAAAGGAAACCATATTATGCAGTTTACGCTTTACCTTTTTCCCTGGTTCGGTGAACAGAACAGGCCAATGTAGCCGATGCTTTATTTGTATTGATTAAACAATATAACGGTTTAACCTAACACTGTTAACATGGACCCGATTAATACGGTGAAGGCGTGTTCTCTAGTTATTTAAATCTTCAGGGAAGCAGCGTTTCGTGGTAAAGCACATCATCTCTTTTCCCTGGAAGACACATCAGGCATCGCCATGCACTCCAGAAAACAACCATCAACCGGTGCTCCAGCTAGCTCGAAAAGCCGGCTATGTCCTACGCAGCAGCCGGAGGGGACAGTCCCTTGGTCGACGGGACTCTTTGCCTGCGGCTCCGATGTTCCCAACTGTAAGCCTTTTCCTTTCAAAGTAACCCTAAAATGGCCACTTGATGAGATTAATTAAACTCACGTTGTTTTGAACTTGGATTGTATAGGTTGTATTACATGCTGGTGCCCTTGCGTCACCTTTGGACGAATTGCCGAGATCGTGGAGGAGGGATCAACCTGTGAGTTGTTCTTTTATTTGCTGTTGGGGAAAGTTGTAAGAAGTTGAACAAAAATGTTTAATGAATGGCATTGGCATGTGCAGCATGCGGAGCAAGGGGAGCAGTGTACACATTAATAGCTGTATTTACAGGGTGTGGGTGTGCTTGTATTTACTCCGGCTTCTATCGGCAAAGAATGAGGAGTCGATACAGGTTGGAAGAGGGCCGCTGCAACGATTGCTGTCTACATTTATGCTGCGAGAGATGCGCCCTGTGCCAAGAATACCGCGAGCTCAAGAACCGGGGCTTCGACATGTCCCTCGGTAATCACATTCATTATAATATAATCACATGATCTCGACAGATTTCGTGACTTATCGTAATGAAACCGAAAATTTTTACTATCAGATCTACCTAGTCTCTTGATTTATAAATAATCATGATAACCATATGTATATTGATGTCAGTTAAGACTATTTACAAATATCCATCGACAAAAATACTAATCAATTATCGTTCTTTTATCGATCGTAACTTTTCATCTGAATCAGAATGGATGAGTCCTCCATGACTTTTAATCTTGTTTGGAAAATGTAGGATGTCATGGGAACATGGCGAGACAACAAAATCAAGGAGCTCAAACGACAGCCGCTCCGGCGGTGGAAACCGGCATGAAAGGATAGAATGCTATTGGTCCGATGGGAAGGTTCTTGGTTTGTTTCACAGAACAATGCATTTTTTATGATTGTCAACGTTCAAACCGTAACGGAATTGGTTTGGCTGGTCTCACACATTACACATAAATATGACTGAAAATACAAATGTTCATATAGATAGATGAATACATTTATGGCAGAATGGAAGATTTTATGTTCACATAGGACTGATGTGTAAAATTCGGTTTGATTTCGTTCTGTTGATCAATATATTCGATTTAATTTGGTCAAATTACAATTCTTTTTATTTATTTTTATGAAAATACTAAATTTAATAACATCATAAAAATAGGTTTAATTATAAAATAAGAGCCTAAACTATATCGTTTTCCCAACAGGTGCCCAAACTTTTTTTTAATCATTCAGGTGCCAAACGTTACAAATGTTACCACTTTAGGTGCTCGCGCCGTAATTGTCTTTAGTTTTCTCTGTTAAGTGACACTTGTCACATTCTAGTAATTTTTAATTTTTTTAAAAAATTAAAAAATTATTATATTTATTAAAAAAACTCTAATTTCTTTTAAATTACAAAAAAAAAAACTCAAATCGTCGACAACGTGGTCCCTACCATCTTCCTAGTTATACGTCGCAATAGTTGTCGGCGATTGACCGTCGAGATCGTGTGGGGTCACAAATTTCAGCGTAGGGTTCATGGGGTAAAAAACGTCAATTGATTGTAGTTTCATAGGGTTACTGATCGTCAGGAAGAGGTGAGGTCGGTTAGAGCTTCGTCGACGACAAATGACGTCAATTTAGCCTTTAGGGGGTGTTTGGATGGGGGAATGTGAGATTCCCATGGGAATGGAATCTACATTCCCCCGTTTGGTTAGTCCGGAAATCTCATTCTCAGTAATGTAAGATTACTAATAGTTGATTTTTTGGGGTATATTACCGGGAATGTCATTACCTCCATTTCCTTAGGTATTGTTGGATTCCCGACGTTTTGGATTAAAATGCCCTTAAATTTTTTTAAATATCTTTTTTCTGTCATTGAATAATAAAAATTCTACGAATGTTAAATTACAAATTTATCCTTAAACTATTTTAGATTTACAAAAAAAGTCTATAATTAAAATTTTATATGAAATTCTGGGGTTAAAATAAAATTTTACCCTTTCATTAAACCTTTTTATATTTTCAATTTTGTAAAAAAATTATATAAATTTTATGAATTTAAATTTTTTAAAGAAAATATATAAATATTTTCCAACTTGTTAAAAAAACAAATATATAATAAAGACAATTTGGTCAAATATACATTCCAATAATCTTTTATTCTTTTAACCAAACACGATAATCTTACATTCCTGCTAAACCAACCAAACACAAAATACAACATTCCAGTAATCCTATTCCCTGGTAATCTTACATTCCCACTGGTAATCTTCTATTCCGTGAACCAAACGCACCCTTAGGGTTTGAAATGTGAGTTTTCAAAGTTTCGGGTCATTTCAAAAATTTTGTTTTTTAAATATTTTTTTATTTTAAATAAAATTTTAAAATTACCAAAACATAAAACATGTCATTTAAAGGCAGTTACGACTCGGGCACCTAAAGTGGTAATGTTTGTAACGTTAGGTACCTGGATGATTAAAAAAAGAATTTGAACACCTATTTTAAAAAAAGTATAATTTGGATACTTTTATTTTATAATTAAGCCTAAAAATATGAAATTTAAAAATATTAATAATGCTGAGAATTGAAAATCTAACAGCATTAATGTTGAGTAATTAAATAAAGAATCGAACTTGGGAAAGAATCATCAGATTGACATCAAAATTATTGAACTACGTTTATAGAAGTGTTTATTGTTATATTTTATTTAAATTATCTGATCAAATTAAAATTTAGTTCGATTAATTAATCAAATAATTAGATGTTAGATATGTAAATAATTATTTTTTAAAATTCAATATTAATTAATTCAATTCATTTAAGATCAATTAATCAACCTAGTTAACTGAAAATATTCAATTCAATTTGAGATCGATTAATCAACTAATTAATTCATTTTACCTGATTCAATTCGACCACTGAATTAATTGGTCACATGTCCAACAAGAAAGAGTTTAACTAATTCATTTTAACTAGTTTCACATGTCTACATGTCCAAGCGATTGCTGAGACATGAATGCTACTTAGTGGTAACATGTGTCCAAGCGATAACAGGACTGTAGGTGAGGAAAAGTCTGTAATAGGGTCGATCTGCCGATGTACTGGTTGGATCCTGTGAATCCTTCCTCGAGACAAGGTCATGCTTTTGTTTGAAGTTTTCCCATGCAGGTTCGTTTGGATTTGGACGACTCGGCAATTTGGTGAAGTGGGAAGCCGAGACTTGACCATGGCGGTTCATCTGCCCATGAATTTTGGAAGAAAGGAGATGCATGAGTTCCTTGCTCGAACTATTGGTTTCTCGATGAAGAGGGTCCGGTTTTTAGATTGTTTGAAATGGCACTTGTAGTTTTATTGAAGTGGACCAGGTTTCCTTTGGGTGGTTCCTTGATGCGTTAGTCATTGGAAACCACGTAATAAGATAGGGTGCTGTGCAAGGTTGGTCGATTGCCTAATTGTTGAGTTGAGCGATGAATATGGGGCTGACCCCATATCCGAGGGGCAGCAGTGTTCGTGTTCCCTTTCATATTTTTAGGGAGGTTTGATAATTTTTTGTGTTGGGCAGTGTATTGTTATGGTAGTGTGTAAGTTCTTTGGCAGTACTGATGGTGTAGTGATATTATCCTTATTGATACATACATGGAGTACTCTTTTTCCTCCACGGTTTAGGGAGGTTTTTTTATGCTCGTTTTGTATGTATGTCTTTAAATACAATACGAAACATCCTTTTAAAAAAACATTCTAATCACATAGTAACAAAAATAATATCAGATTAACATCAAAATTTTGTTGATTCAATTATCCAATTTTACTCGAACTTAATCATCTGATTTTACTAATTATAAATTATACAAAATATCTGTCAAAAATTTCTACACCATTTCTCTTCCTAATTTAGTGCCACTTTTAGTGGCCATGCAATGACTTTTTCATCACATGTCAAAAAAAAAATAAATAAATAACATAAAAAATGCAACTCAAAACTAAAAAAAAGAAAGAAAAAACAAAAAAAAGGTTGGCGAAATCTATTCCTAAGAAGAAGAAAAACTTGGACATACTCGAAAGGGGAGCAGAGGAAATTTGTTCTCGTTGAATAGGTTTCTTTGTCTCCCCCCTTAGATTTCAAAGCCTTCTACGTTGAAAAATGAAACACACAGACACAACCATGGCCATGTACCCAACGGACCAACCACCACCACAACAATGTTTGGCACCGTCGTATCAATACGGACAACCGGCTCCACCGCCGTTTGCCGGTCCCGTCACCACACCGAGCCAACAATATCCTATGCAAAATTATTACATGCACCCTGCCGGAAAAGTCCTTTGGTCCACAGGAGTCTGTGATTGCTGCTATGATATTCGAAACTGTAAGTATTTTAATTCAACGTTTCATTTTAAGTCGAGATATCTCTGATTGAATGAAAATCATTAGTTGACTAACAATCAACACTTATCGGTGACATGACAAGTCATATGTGTCCAAAGTGATGGTGCGACACATTAATTTCACATGTCCGAGCGATAACAGGACACATGATGCATCATCACTTTAGACACATAAGACTTGTCATGTCGATAAGCATTAACCGTTACTCAATTAATAATTTCTATCAAAATGTTTTTTATTTAATTAGGTATCATCACATTGTTTTGTCCTTGCATCACCTTTGGGCAGATTGCTGAGATTGTCGATCATGGATCAGTCTGTAAGCTTTCTTTCCTGTTCTTTTATCTTATATCTTATCACCAGGGATGAATCTACGTGCTTAATCTTAATTCTGTTCCTGTTTATCACGATGTTCGATTTAATCAAACCGAAACACAGCATGCATAGCAAATGGAATTGTTTACTCGGTAATCCAAGGGTTCTTGGGGCTAGCTTGTCTGTACTCATGCTTCTACCGCACGAGAATGAGGCACCAATTCATGTTGGCCGAGACACCCTACCCGGACTGGTGCATTCATATCTTCTGCGAGCAATGCGCATTGTGCCAAGAATTCCGCGAGCTCCAAAACCGTGGCTTCGACATGTACATCGGTAAAAGCAACACAAACTCTACACTTTCGTGTAGAGATGGACGTAAAATTTTATGTTAAAGGTGATTTTATAAGCATGTATTGAAGTACGTGAGTTTATGTATGTATAGGATGGGATGCGAATATGGAGAAGTTCCAACGACAGGCAATGCAAATGTCAGCGCCACCGGTGGTGGAAGATGGGATGAAAAGATAAAAGAAGAAGAAGAGAGTGATGATCATTTTCTTAAGTGTTGAGTTTGATTCATGGCGACAAATATTTATAAAGGGGTAAGGTTTGAGGCGAAATTACTTCAAGAGCGGGAGAGGCTTTGTTCCCAATTTTTAAATTTAATTCTTTTTTATATATAAAATCATGTCCTTAATTGTTGTTAAAAGAAGATTCGACGTATTAAATTAATGAGTAAAATATATAAATCGAATCTCAATTATGAGGTGTTGCTTTATTGAGTCTCTCGACTATTAAAAGTAATAAAATGATCCATCAATTATTGGGTGTTATTTTGTTGAGTCTCTCGACTTTTAAAAGTTAAAAAATGATCACTTGAATATTTGTTTGTTCCAAACTCGACATTTTTCATTAAAAAGTGGACGGCTGTCTGATATGAACGTTAACATGGTGACTAGGATTTAACAAAATCATATTTTAATGTTGTCTACAGGCACCACCGTTGCTTTCAAGCACTTGTTAAACGACGCAATGTTTTAAGCACCGGTTTGACGATATAATGCAAACAGAGAGTCGGTTGATAAAATAAAACTCAAATAATTCTAAGATTATATTTTATCATATATACATTAAACGTTAACGTCAAGCTTAAGTGACCACCAATTTATGTGGGACCTCATGGCCTGCGAGGCGCGAGGACAATAGATTCCCAACCTTCCCTTTAGTGTCTATAGCTTTGTTTGGATACAATATTCGAGTGGAAAGCTGATTTTTTTAAAATTTTTAATTATAAACACGTAATGTTGCAATTTATCTTTAAGGTGACTATAATATGTATAAGACATTTTAAGAGGGGTAAAAATGGTTAGAAATCATGGTTTTGTGAAGGAAGAAGAAAAAATGGTTTGATAGACATATTGGAGTGTTATTTCTAGTTTGTAAATATGAGTAATATGTGTTGTTAATTAAAAAAAGAAATAATGCAAAAAGCCCATTTAATTGATACGTGGGCCTGAGAAATTGGGACATTTGTTCTTCGTGTGTCCGGGATTCCTACATATAGAGCATAATTTCGGTTGTCCGGTTCTTTCATAATATTCGACCAAATTCTCGTCACAAAAAATTTGGGTTGACTGTGGATGACATGGTTTTTTTATCTCGTCGTAGTGCATAATCTGGTCGTATTGCAGTTTCGCATTGAGGTTGACGATGAGTCCGATGCGGATGTAATTGCGGTTCCTATTCCTCTTCAGCAATATCATCATCATCAGAACTGTCAATTGTATATGGAATCGATCCACCACTGGCACTGGAACCAGGATCGGGGTAGAATATGCTCTGCGGTGGCGTCTGCACAACAATATCGGATCTAAAGTTAGCCGCCAATTGTGTCGGTGGTGAATTCAACTAGTCAAAGACGTTGGTGAGGAAACCTTCCGAGATCTACCCCATAGCAGCATCGCAATAAGGCGTACACAAGAACTATAAAATTAAAATTACATAACTTTGTTAGCTAAAAACCTCAAATAAATTAAATTATTCTAAAATTATAAGATAAAAGTCGAAGAAAAATATTTTATTACCTCCAAACTTATCAATCAAGAGCCTGAAGTCTCGTTGATGTGTTGATAAGTGGGCGTGAGAGGTTTCATTAGTCCACCTATCATTAATACAATAAAATTGTATTATTTGTTAGTAATATTATAAAAACATGTCATGGCTCTACAAAGCTGTCGTAACAAAAATGCCAAAACTACCGACTCCCAACTTATATTTCTTGAATCACTCTAATTTTGCAAATGATTCAACCACATTATATGCACCTTATTTCGAGATTTTTCTAGCACTAAAATCCCCCAATAACTCGTAGTATATGTGCACGAGCAAACCACTTCAAAAAATTAATAAAATAATATAACTACTTAATTTTCAAAAAAATTAAATAAATAAATTGAAATATTAATAAATATTCATAGATAAAAACATTTATATTTACCTCTTTCACTTCAGGCTTCGCATTCTAGGGTAGGTTCGTAAAATTTTCATCCACAACTTTAATTTTAAATTTTCCACCATCGTTTGCATCATCAGGCGGATCAATTCCGAGCAATACCCACATACGTTTCTAGGGGCGCCAACAACACAGTAATAACAACTCCATCAATGCGGAGTCCCAAATAAAATGCAACATCTTGCAGGGTAATAGTTGCCTCCCCACACGGTAAATGAAACGTGCGCGTCTACGATCTCCATCTTTCCACCAACGCATTTATAAGTACAGGATGTAATTTCACACCGTCACCAGTTATACTACTGATATATTAGAAACCCGCTAAATGTAAAAATTCAATAATATTCGCATCAATGGGCAGTCCTAAATAAAATGCCACATCTTGCAGGGTAATAGTTTCCAAGAGTTCGTTTGAAAGCCCTGTGAAGACTACGGAATCGGTTTCAATCGGCTTGAACTTGATGAGCTCGGAAGGGACCAACCCCTTGTCGTCTAGCGTGCGAGGTTTCTGGCCAGCTGCAGGAAACGAAGGGATCACTTATCGTTTAACTAGTATCGGATCTAGTAGCTCGAACTCCAAGCAGGGTTCTTTCAAAACTTAACATTAAATTTTGAATCGAGTACTAAAATAAAACAAAAACTGGAATTTTGAAAGGCGAGGTACTAGAATGAAGCATAAACCAAACCTTAGGTATGGTTTTAAAAAAACTAAAAGAATATGTACTAAAATATGTCAAAACTTATAGTTTAAGTACTAAACACGTAATGTACCCATTATTAAAAGATTCCAAAAAATATCGCACGACGTTCAACGACCTGGATTTCGCTAATTTAACCAATGACATTCCACCAAGTATACGTGCCTTACTTTTCCTAGTTGTCCGACTCAATCCAAATTTAATTATGGAACTTTTAGTTAAATATAGACAAATATTTTAATGTTTATATTACGTATATATTTTAAAATTTAGAAATAGTCTATTAATTAAATTAAAGCGTAAAGTACACAGACGATCACACACTATAGGCTATTGTTTTATTAAATTTCTCGACTATTAAAATTTATAAAATGATAATCCATGTTGAGCTCATGGGCAAAACTTTCGAGATAATATTCTGGAAAAAATTAATTCAAGAGATAATGCACTCTCCAGATTAATTGCTCAAATAAGGTGAAATCCACAGTGTTGGCCGTAGGTCGTCATGCCTTCCGGGCGACCTACTAGGTTGCCATGTCTTCTCGGCGAGCTACAAGAGGTTGCATGTGCCATGCACGTCCCAACACGCTGGGCATCCGAGGCCATTCGACCGAGCTATGCGAGAGCATCCGAGGGAAGCCGAGCGAGCTATGCGAGGGCAGCCGAGCGAGCTATGCGAGGGCATCCGAGCGAGCGAGCAATGGTAGGTCGCCCGGAGGGCATGGCGACCTATGTGTTGGGACGTGCATGTGCCATGCAACACTTTCATTCTCTCTGTTTGAGCAAGGGTAGGTCGCCCGCAGTGCATGGCGACCTACGACAAACACTGTGGATTTCACCCTATTTGAGTAATTAGTCTTGGGAGTGCATTAGTTCATGAATTAATTTCTTCCAGAACATTATCTCGAAAGTTTTGCCAGCTCATCGACTATTAAAAGTTACAAAATGAATTCAAATGATCATTTTGTAACTTTTAATAATCGAGGGACTCAACCAAGCAAAACTTTACAGTCGAATAACTATTTTGTAAATTTTAATAATCGAGAGCTTAATAAAATAATACATTATAGTCGGAGGACAATTTGTGTACTTTACCTTGTATTTAATTCGATTGACATCATTATCAATACATTATACATGATATTGAACATGTTTAAACCCTCATTATCCAACTATTTATGAGCAAGAACGCCTGGATAGTATAATTATGGTAACCGATGAACAAGCCATTGTACCGAGAAGTTCATGCCACCCTTAGCACACCGGTGACACTAGAAGTAGTAACCGAACAAATATCATTTTTGCCCTACTTCCAGCATATGGCTAGCTAGAAACACCATTCTCGTTCCTTCATCGGCGAACTGGTTAGTAGTTCGGGATTCAAACATTTCCTCCAACTTATGGGCGATCGAGCAAATATCATTCATATGTAAAGGGATTAACTAAGTTTACCCGAATAATGCAGGTATCAGGAAGGGATTTTCGTTCCTTCCTGAAAGCACCGAGTTCAACCAGGGTCAGAAGCTTCAAAAGTCATCATGATTCATGAATGAATGATCATAAGGTACAAGAAGATACATTAATTAGCAAAGAAATCAGAACTCGGGCAAACAGAAAAGTCTCCATGAATAAGCTTCCCGATAAAGACTTAAAACTAACTCGGTGAAAGCCGAATGACACCATCTTCATTCAAGAATGAACAACTATAGCAAGGGAACATCAGCTAGAAAAAAAAGGCTAAAGAAAGCCATTTCTTGGCTGCAAATGCATATTTTGGAACATTTCTTAGGGTAACAAATGTAGTGAGCTACATATGTAGAGAGCTATAGATTCGATTATGTCTATTCCATCATCATCAAGCCTTGCATAGTTAAATCCTAGAAGATAATCAACTTCTTCTAGTTATTATTGCAGGTCCAGGGAGAAGGAAATTAATAAACCCTAAATCTCAACTCCAAAAGCAGTTCTTAGTGTTGAAGCAACAGCAGTAAATTGAAATAAACATTAACTTTCTTTTTTAATCAAATCAGAAATTGAAAAACAGAGATGCAATGATAACATCATATAATTATCGTAAGATAAGCATTCCAAATCATCCAAACACATCCGAGACTTGGATCTTGTGAATCTTTTCTCGAGATAAAGTCATGCTTTTGTTTGAAGTTTTCCCATGCAGGTTCGTTTGGATTTGAACGACTCAACAATTTGGTGAAGTGGGAAGTCGAAACTTGACCATGGCGGTTCATCTGCACATGAATTTTGGAAGAAAGGAGAGTCATGAGTTCCTTGCTCGAACTATTGGTTTCTCGATGAAGAGGGTCTGGTTTTAAAATTGTTTAAAATGGTACT